TTTTTTACTTTAAAAATCAGTGCACCGAAGCATTACCTTTTCCATTATGCAGTTTGTACTGAAGGTTTGAAAGTTTACTTCATGCATGGTCCATGTACTATGGAAATATTTTTCTTTTCAAAGACCACAAAACACTTTTTAAAAGTCTTTTTACAAAATTCTTGTGGATTATGTTATACTCGATTACTCTTTTCTTGCACTGTTGTTTCTGTCACGCTCTTTAACAAGTATTGTAAATCAGAGTGAGATTTCTCATGTAAAGGATGTGATTTACATGAATGCAAAGGTGCGTGTACTAAATTGAGGTGTTTGGGTAGTTAGACACCAATAAGCTCTTCTTATAGCATATATGCTGCAGATAAACGTAGCAGATTGTGACAGGACCCCCACCGTCAGTAGTTGATTAGAGTAAGGTTGATGGAGGCTTTTTGTTGAGATGCCCTGCACAACAAGGATGAGATCTGGTGAGAGGGGCTGAATATGGTACAGAACATAAAGTCTAAACAAGGGTTGAAAGGCCTTTTGGAAACACATAATGCCTGTAAAAAGATCACTCAACAAAAGTATTAATATTGCAGTTTGGAAGCCTTTTTCATGACAGAAAATGATAAAAAGTTATATAAAGCAAAGGAAATGGAGCATCAGAAATACAGTAGCCCATTATAACAAGAGGATGGGAGGAAATAAAATGTGAGAGAACAAATCATCCCTATTGGCTTTGTACAGAAGAAACAAAGAAACATACTAGAAAATATTCACATTCACACTCCTATATTAAATCATACTACAGAAAAAAACACATTGCTTTGTAAGGCATTGAGCACCCAGGCTGAAAATCAGAGTTTCAAACTACAAAGGTGTCCTTCAACTTTTTTTTGTTGTTGTTGTTAATTCATTAAAAGTATCTCAATTATATATTCTGCAATCATAATGTCATCACCTCTCAAAATTTATTATATTTGTCTACAGCTTTATATGCACATAAATGACATTTATTGAGGTAGTCCTTCTTTAGGGACACAGCTGTATTAAATAGTGTGACCTTCTCTCCTTCCAGAATGCTGGAGCGTTGTTTAAGATCAGAGTGGTGGGAGGATCGGCAGCCTACAGCTACCTGTCCCCACAGGACAGCAGGCCACTGTACCACCCTGCTGTTGACAGGTATACCACACACACCTACACCTACACTCTGCCTACACACATGTGAATACATGGTGTTATCATAGTTCCACAACTGCTGATTTTTTTTTCTTCCATGTATTTATTGAGTTTTAAACATTACACTGCACGACTGCTAATTTAGGTGTAGCCAATCTCTCCATCAAAGTCAGGCCCTTGTGTATTGCTGGACTGCTCACAGTGCCACTAGAATTATCACTTCTAACTAGAGCCACATCTCCAGCTAAGATTCAGGACCTGCACATAGATGCATGGCTACTTTAAAAAATGTAGTTTTTTCTATACATCGCAAGACAAACCCTTTGATGAAGGTGTATGCCATTCTCTCCTTCTGTGATGTCAAACTATATGCTGTGTTATTGTTCGCGTGAGGTAGTCTGCTAGGGCCCATGAAGACAAAATACCTGTTTCTGTTAATCACATCATTCTTGTGAGATCTAAAGACTGGTTGTGAAGGAAGGAAAGAGCAGACATGTCAGCATATTTCCCCTGACAAGTCTCCTGGTCCATGTCCTTTTGTGCTTCCTCAATGTGCAATCTATATTGTTCTTATATTTTTTTACCCTATAGCTTTGGCAGTGTTTGGCATCTTTTTTAATCCAGTATATATGTGGCGCAGACTTTAGTGGATGTAAACAGAACATCCAAACCACAAGAACGCACATCACATGAGGAGGTCCATCAG